ATATATATATTATACTGTATGATAAGGTTATAGTATTGAAAATATTATAAAATAATAAAGTAAATACAAGAAAAAGCAAACTGCAACTTTTTTATTTTTTTAATTGTGTTGTGCTGCTTTCACAGTGCTGAAGTCTCTGGGTCTCTCTTTTCTTTCTTTCTTTCTTTATTTATTTCTTTCTTCCTTTTTCTTTCTTTCTTTCTTTCTTTTCAGTTGTGCATGGCAAGCGGTCCTGGAATTTTTCACCGGTTTAATGTCTGGCACTTGTGTACACAGAAACCGTCCGGGTTGCAGATCACTCAAATGGTCACTCAATAAACATTTGATTATTTCTTTAGTATCTCAGGCACACTTTCCCTCTTTCTCTAGCAGAGCCTGTGGAGGGTTGTAACATGTATTAACATCTGTGTTCTTTGATATAATATTTCCATATTTATCTGATCAAAATGGAAGACCCAGTGAAATTAGAGTTCTGTGGCTTTTAGTACTCCTAAATATTGACAAAACTGTTTTAGCAGGTACACACGTTTTATAAAGTTTGTTCTTGTTCTTCCAGGAAAATGGACAAATAAAAATTAAAGACACATTTTGGAGTACAGACTTTTGTCAGATGCTCTCTATGAGAACATCCCACCCCTTGCAACTGACCTGCAAGTTTTTAACATGACAAGCTTTGCTATTTATCAAAGTCAGAAGATACCAGCATGATCACAAAAAATTGTGTATACAGACTGGTGTGTAAAATGTGTAGACACGTGTAAAATAGTGTTTTCTTCTTGTAGTTCACATGTGATATGTTAAACTGATTGTGTTACAACACTCCATGGTCTGTCCTACACAACACACAATTATCCTTTCTTTCTCCCCTCTCTCACTCTCTCCTGAATAGGTTTTGGGTTTCCCCCATGTTTGCTTTCATAGCTAACTTTATTATGTCAGTCTCAAACAGGTAAGAGGACACAAATGTCAACACATGAGCTGAAAAGGATCAGAAAACCAGCAGGCATTTAGTTTTCCAGGAACCTTTGCCAAAAGCCAATTAAGTGATGATAGCATAAATAATCTTAGAATATAATACCCTGCGTTTCAAGCTTTGGCCTCTTATACAAACATACTGACTTCACGTTAGTGACCTTGTGTTGGGGTCCAGAATCAGGTATAATTAGGAAGTTTGTGCCAACAGATATGCTTACTGTGAGCTCCCAATTATGTCCAATCTGTCTCCATTTCAGAATACCAGACTGCACAATTTTCGCGGCAAAAAGATGGAGTAAAATGTCAGAGTAATTTGTGTTAAATCAAGGCATGCCTTAGAAGCCCAATGCTGTTGTTGCATTTTAGGGGCATTAAAATTGTGCTGCACTCTCCACAGATGGAAATTAATGATTTGAGAGTCGAGGTCACACGTGTTTGTGTGTGTGTGTGTGTGTGT